GGTCCGGGACAGCACGGTCGTGCCAGCGAAACTGGCGCCGCGTGTATGCTCAGACCCCCGGGGGCTCCCTTCCCCGGCGTCTCTTTGGGCCCCCCGTAGCATTAAGGCCCCCGCTCCCTCCTGAACAAGGCTCTCTGGCTGAGCCGCGAAAAAGAGGGGGACGGGCTGGGGCATATGTCTATATATATATATATACAATTGTCGAAATTATCCCAGAGCGACCCCACCTAGGAGTTCGAGCCCCAAGGAGAGCAATGCTAGTAGTTACGGTAAACGCCGTCCTCCTCCTTCTCCTCATCGTCGCAGTTGCTGATCCTTCTCCTTCTCCTTGCTGCTGTTGCTTTGCCTTCGCTTTGATGCTATGCTATGCTGTGCTATGCTATGCTACGCTATGCTGCGCTATGTTGCGCTATGTTATGTTATGATATGCTAGGGTATATTGGGCTGCACTGTGTTAGGCGATGTTATGCTATGATATGTTGCGATGTGATCTGATATGATATACCATACTGCGTTATGTTATGCTGCGCTATGCTATGCTATGCTATGCTATGTTATGCCAAGCTATGCTGCGCTATGCTATGGTATGTTATGCGATGCTGCGCTATGATATGATATGATATGCTATGCTGCGCTGTGCTATGCTATGATGCGCTATGATATGCTAGACTGTGCGATGCTATGCTATGCTATGCTAATGCTGCGCTAAGCTACGCTATGCTGAACTAAGCTAAGCTAAACTAAGCTAGGCTAAGCTAAGCTAAGCTAAGTTTAGCTAGGTAAGCTAAAATGAGATAAGCAAAGCTAAGCTAAGGGGGCGCAACTGGGGGAACCGCGGGGCGGATACTGGGGGAACCGCCCGGGGCGAGGAACACTGCCCGGCCCTTTTAAGCCCAGCGAGTATGAACCCTCTAGGCAGAGCCTAGGTAGGGAATTAGTCGAAAAAATCGGTCCCTGATTATTTTTTAAACTATCTTGGAATATTCCCCCTGGAGAGGGACGGGCCCGACTGAAGCCTCGTGGTGCGACAGGGATGAGGCATTTATAGATAAGAGGGATTCTGAGCGAAGCTCAGGAAGAGGAGTGGGGAGAAGGCTGCGCACACTATCAGAGAACACAGATGTGCGAGGGTATCTCAGTCGAACCGGGCCAGATCACCTCTCGCGCAGCCCCAGAATACGAGGATGTCTCAGGCGAAATGCGCCGGACCAACTTGCGCGCGGTATCCGGGATCCTGGAGTTGCGAGGATTTCTCAGGCGAAATGCGCCGAACCTTTTCTCTCGTGGCACCTCGAAGCCCAGAGTTGCGAGGATGCCTCAGGTGAAACGGGCTGGACCACGTCTCGTGCAGCACTTCAGACCCCAGAGTTGCGTTGATGTCTCAGGCAGCGCTCAGACCCATCCCAGAGTACAATTCAACAATAGAGGTGTAATCAAATGGTTCGTTTGGGCCTGACCCCTCCTCCCTCCTCCCTCTTTCTCGGAGCCCAGAGTTGCGAGGATGTCTCAGGCAAAACGGGCTGGACCACCTCGCGCGCAGCATCTCGGAGCCCTGAGTTGCGTACATAATGGGCCAGACCATCACACGCGCGGCATCTCGGTGCTCAGAGCTTCGAGGATTTCTAAGGCAAAACGGACCAGCCCACCTCTCGCGAGGCATCTCGGAACTCAGAGTTGCGAGGATGTCTCAGGCGAAACGTCCATCCCATCGAGCTCGGAAACGAGAGTTGTGAGGATGTCTTCGGCAAGGATTTCTCCTCTGGGGGATCCCTCGGGCGGGATCAGCTCCGAGAGTTCACGCGATGAAGCTGTTGCGTCCTCTATTTGCTCCTCCGTGGTGAACGCCTCTGCCGCCCCCCAACCCCACCCCATCAGGGCCCACTTCGATCCGATCTTGGGGAGCGGAAAGTCGGATCGGGCAGGCCAGGATCGATATCAAGTTCGATCGATCGTAGGGGAACGAAGAATGACATAAACATAAGAATTCGGAGGTCTGCGCGGAGTTCTCGGATCGGCGCTGGACCCCCCTCCATGGCGCGCGGAGCGCGATGGGGGGCCCCAACGCCGATCCGAATCCGCGCGGACATCCGAGTTTTTATGTTTATGCCATTCTTCGTTCCCTTACGATCCAGCGGGTTCGATATCGACTCTGGCCTGCCCGATCCGACTCGACTCCGCTCGATGGGTTGCGTTGCCCGATGGTTGTGCGTGCTGTCGCGGCCGATCCGCTTCGATCGCGTGCCGATGCGGCCCGATCCGACGCACGTCCCGATCCGATCGGATCTCTCGATTCGATGCTGATTGAGCCTGCCACGCCCAACCCCAGACCAAGGAGGCCGCCCTCCCCGTGCACCCTCCCCTTCTCCTCCTCCTCCTCCTCCTCCTCCTCCTCCTCCCTCCTCCTACTTCTCCTCCTTGTCTTTTCTTGTCTTGCTCTCCTGTCTTATCTCCCCTCCCTGCCGTTGCTGTTGCTCCCCCGTCCGGCTCAGAGGACGTCGAATTCCTTGCAGTCTGGCTTTGCACGCCGCCAGGCTTGGACGCGTCGGCCACCGCCACTGTCGCTGTCGCCGTCACCAGAGTCGGTGGCCCTGACGAGGGGGCGGCGGCGGCAGTGGCAGTGCCGAAACGCGCCCGGAGGCCAGCAAGGCGTGAGGGTGCAAACCCGACTCGTCTGGCTGATACTCCGTGGGGGGCCTGAGCTCAGGAGAGGCTGCACCACCGCTCAACGATGTGGTGTGTTCCGAACATGCATGGTGGGCCCTTTCCATTTTCTGTGCGCTTCAGTCATCAGCTGTTGGTGCATTGCGAAGCGCCTTCTGGCCAGCTCACCCAAGTCGGTTTTCCGCTCATACGGGTGCCTCCTTCCATTCCCCTTCCTCCTCCTCCTCCTCCTCCTTCTCCTCCTCCTCCTCTCCTCCTCCTCCTCCTCCTCCTCCTCCTCCTCCTCCTCCTCCTCCTCCTCCTCCTCCTCCTCCCTCCTCCTCCTCCTCCTCCTCCTCCTCCTCCTCGTCGTCCTCCTCCTCCTCCTCCTCCTCCTCTCGTCGTCGTCGTCGTCCTCCTCTCCTCCTCCTCCTCCTCCTCCTCCTCCTCCTCCCTCATCCTCCCTACTCCACCATCCCTTCTCATTCTCCTCCTTCTCATCCGCCTCCTCTTCCTCCTCCTCCTCCCCCTCCTCCTCCTCCTCTTCCATCCCGCCTCCTAATAGATAACTCCTCCCTGTCGCACCCGAGGCCTGTCGAAAGGGTGGGCTGTTTTTTGTCCATGAGACCTCCTCACCATTCATGATCTTGAAACTGAATTTACAAAAGTTTCACGGATGGAGAGCGGCCCGTCTTCGAACTGTGGTTCTTGCTTTAGCGCCGCGCACATTCGTTGCAAAAGTTCGCAAGCGTTTCACGGATGGAGGGCAGCCCGTTTTCTAAATGCGGTTACCGCCTTAGTGCCGCGCACATTCGTCTTACGAGTTAGCAAGCGTTTCAAGGATTCTCAGTGCTAACGTCCTAGAAGTTGTGTTTTGGCATGATGCTGGAATGTCCAGGCGCAACAATTACGTTGACCAGCGGTGTCGATGAAGTCCCAGGAATGGCGTTCTGGCGCAATTCAGGATCGTCAAGACGCAACAGGAACGGTGATTCGTGGCGTTGACGTCCCAGGAAAGGCTTTCTGGCACAGTTCAACGGAGTACTTCCTCAGTGAAAATGAAGCCGCACAGGGGCCTATGAGGAGGGAGTTTGGAGGGAGGGTTCATTGGAATATCGCTGATGAGTCTTGGGTTTGCACTGGTCCTCCTCCTCCTCCTCCTCCTCCTCCTCCTCCTCCTCCTCCTCCTCCTCCTCCTCCTCCTCCTCCTCCTCCTCCTCCTCCTCCTCCTCCTCCTCCTCCTCCTCCTCCTCCTACTCCCCCTCCACCCCCAATCTCCTTCGCCTCCCCCATTTCCTGCATCTCTTCCATCTCCTCAATCTCCTCCAACTCCTCCAGCTCTTCCATCTCCTCGATATCCTCCTCCTCCTCCACCTCCTCCTCCTCCTCCTCTTCCGATTCGATGCTCGCTGATCCTGCCCCCCAGCCCCCCCATCTCCGGACCAAGGAGGCGGTCCTCCCCGTGCAGCGCGCCGGGGCGCGCGCCGCGCCCGCGTCGTTGCAGGAGGGGAAGGAGCTCGGGCACCCCTGGCGCCCTTCTCGTCCTCGTCCTCGTCTTTGTCCTCTTCGTCCTCCTCGTCCTCTTCCTTGGTCCTCCTCTTCCTCCTTCCCCTTCTCCTCCTCCTCCTCCTCCTCCGCCTGCTCCTCCTCCTCCTCCCTCCTCCTTCCCCTCCTCCTCCTCCTCCTCTCTCCCTCCTCCTCCTCCTCCTCCTCCTCCTCTTCTTCCTCCTCCTCCTCCTCCTAGTGATCAGAACCTTCTCATCGTGCTCGTCTTCGACTCGCCCTGACCCCCGCGCCGTGCGCGGCCATTTCGGATCCAGGCTGCAGCCAGTGCTCTTCGCGCCTTTTGCCGGCGCATCTTCCCCGCCGGAGGTGGCGGACGTTTGGCACAACTCTCTACATCGACTGTTCCTTCGAACACTTCCTCCCTCTGTGCTGGAAAAGGGCGCGGCGTGAGGGCCGCAGAGAACGAGAGCAGCAGCGCGGCAGGCACGAGCAGGAGCGCGTGCAGCGCGCGTGTGTACGTTGACTTTGGTAGCGGAGCTTCGGCTCCTTTCCGCGACCTGGCCTACTACACGAAGATCGTCACCGATTGCATCAACACGAACACCTACTACACGAAGATCTTCACCGACTGCATCAACACGAACATCTACTACACGCAGATCGTCACCGACGGCAACAGTGGCGAGTGCTACGCCTGGAGCTGTGGAGGCCCAGGGTACGCATCGTATTCCCCCAGCCTGGCAGCCGGGCGCGGACTACACCTTCAGGGATTGGGAGCGCGACATCACCAACTGGGTACGGCTCACTGACTTGCAGGCCGACCAGATCGGCGGCGCCATCTACTAGCGCGTCAGGCCTGGCCAAGACTCCGTTGCGCGAGATCCCCGACAACGTGATCAGCAACGGCGCCGAGGGGCGCCCCGGCATTGAGATCCTCATGGCAGCCCTTCGGGCGCGCTGGGGCGGCGAGAGCCAGGACAAGCAGCTGCAGCTCCTGGCCGCCTTCGAGGAGTTCGACATCATCCGCATTCGAGCGCGTGACGAAGCTGGACACCAAGTGGCTCCTGCATCTTTGGCTCGGAAGCCTCTCTTGGCCTTCAACGTCCCCGAGGACACTTGGTCCAACCTCCTCGTGGAGACGCGTGGCCTGCCCCCGAGCTCCGAGAGCGAGTACGAGTCCTTCCTGAGGCACCTGAAGCGCAACCTCTCGCTCTACTGCAGGAAGAACAATGTGATGCGATCAAGTTCCCCGAGGCTTGATTGGTAACGGCGGAGGCGGTGCGGGCGGCCACTTCTCTGCCTTCCCGACCTTCGAGCAGCAGCGTGGCAGCTCGTCAGGTGCACTCTGGGACCGAATGCCTTCCCGAGCACATGCGATGAGTCAGAGCTCCAACACCGGCTCCAACCAGTGCCAGCATTGCGGCGAATGCCTGACGTGCAGCATGTGCACTGAGTGCTACTACGACGACGAGCTGGACCTCATGGAGAGCGACGACGACTCGGACGACGACCTTGACTCCGAGGGCGAGGACCAGGCGCAGGCGGCCTACCTGCAGTACGAGATCAGCTGCGCCGAGTGGGACAACCTCATCCTGCCCCAGGAAATCGAGGACAAGTGCCAGGTCTTCCTCGAGCACGCGCGTCAATCCTTTTTCATCTCAGAGAACACCGCTCGACAGCTGCGCTACACCGTTCAAGCCCGCGGCTTGGACAGCTGGCAAGAAGGAGGAGGAGGCCCCCAGGATGCCCAAGCACTACAACATCGCCAAGGACCACATCTGCTCCAGCTGCAAGGTAGAGTACTACAACAAGCTCTACGAGTGCGAGTACTGCAAGATGGAGTTCTGCCATCTGCGCACCGCCTACGACGATTGCCTACACTGCTGGGGACGTGGGGAAGAGCGTGCCGGCCGAGGCCAGGGCAGCGCCCAGGTGTGCACCCAGCGCTTCTACCCGTGGCGCAGCAACCTCAGTGACATTCGCACCGCGGGCTCCTGGACGGGCTACCAGGCCCACTCCACATCACAGCTACCCAGTACTCGCGAAGGACTTCTGGTCAACAGCGGCGCGATCGACAACCTCACCAGCAAGCAGTTCGTGGATCGCCAGAGCGCCATCGCCAAGGTGGCGGGCTACGAGACGCACTTCGAGCCGATGGTGCACCCTGTCGCGGTCAACGGCGCGGGGGAAGGCAGCCAGCAGGCTTCCACCAGGCAGTTGTACCGATCCAACTCAATGATGAATCCGCTGAGTTTCGAGCCCCTTGCCTGATGGGCGACGGCGCTGGCGCCCCGGCCCTGTGGGGCCTACGCTCGCAGAGGCAGTCGCGCGCCATCATCGCCACAGGCGGCAACGCGGTCATCATCCCTGGCGAGGCTTCTCGATGACTCTCAGCCCCGGCAGCAAGGTGATCCGGTGCGAGAACGCGATCTCGGGGCACATGATGACCCCCGTGTCGGACTTCGAGGAGCAGGTCTTCTACGGAGCGCGCTGTCAGCTAGACAGCAGCGGCGCTGCGGTGCCTTCCGCAGCTCCGACACCACCGTGAGGGCCCGGCGAGCCGGGCAGTGAGCGGGGGCAAGGCTCGGCTGTGCCATCGGCAACCCCCCGCAGTACCACTTCAAGCACTACCACTACACGGCCAATTCTGAAAACGACGGCCGCCACTGGCGTTTCTTCGAGACCGTCCTCGGCAGCTACTTCCTCTTACTGCACCGTCGAGCACATCGACTGTTCCTACGAGCGCTTCACCGCGAGGCCTCCTGGACTGGCAGCAGTCCGCCCGCGACTGGCTCAACGAGCGCAGACAACTGTCGACGACACCTGACCCACCAGCAGGAGACGGAGATCCCAACATCTATCACTTCAGGGAGATCTTCAGCGGCTCCTGCAAGTTCACCGAGAAGAACAAGGCCGCCGGCATGCACGCCAGGTCACCAGTCGATCTGACGACGAAGTGGAACCTCTTGTGGCGGACTCACCAACTCGAGCTACTTCGACAAGTTCGAGAGGAGCCAGCTCAGGTCATGTGGCTGGACCCTCCGGGCGCGGCTACAGGCACCGGCAGCGCCAAGGACCGCGAGCTGGCCAGGTACGTCACCGAGCTCGTCCGCGCTCAGCTGGACAAGGACCTCCACGTCGTCATCGACGCGACCGCCGGCAGCCACTTCTGGAAGCAAGCAGAGCTTCAACCGCTGCTTACACACGAGCGGCTCAATCACTGGAAGTACTCCTGGTGCGGGTTGGGAGCTGTCGATCCTGTGACGGGTCGACCCTGGCATCGAGTTCGACGAGTTCTATCCACCATCGACTTGCCTCGCCTCTGTCGTGGCTGGCCTGCTGGCAGCTATCGAGCACAATGCTGCCAACTAGCGCATCTACACCAAGCCACGAGGAAGCGCTTCCAGTCTTCCAACGCCCTGGACCGCAACGAGGCATCCAGGGAGTACCCCGAGCAGGTGATCAAGGCAGCTCACTTCGACCTGCTGAAGTTTCTGCAACCACGGAGTACAGAGAGCGAGAAGTACAACCAGAGTGCATCAGAACCTTCTACTTCGGCCTCTACTACGGCAACCACCACGATCAAGCCCCTCGTCTTCAAGACGGAGGTGGTCACCAAGACCAAGAAGCGAGCTAAACCGAAGCTCGTCCTGCCAGACGAGTGCTCGGGGGACTGCGGCGACGACTTCACCCCGCTCCTGATGAAGGACAAGCACGGCGAGTTCTCTCAGGTGTGGCACGCCGAGCGCGTCGCGGTCGTCGCCAGCTTCACCGTCATGTGCGCCACCCAGGCCGACGAGATCTACTACATCGACGACGAGATCGACGACCCGGCGGACACCAAGTGCTACTACGAGGACAGCCTCCACGACCTCGAGCACTACCTCGCCGAGTCAGCCATCGACATCATGGAAATCTACGGCGGCGAGGCGGGCACGACCAGGTCCAGCGTACGCTTGGGCCTGAGGGGCGGCCCGAACTTCGACATCGTCACCAGCTGCGACCTGACGCTGAAGGAGGACGTGCGGCAGCTGTGGTACTACATCGTGAAGTGCCGCCCACGCGTCATCGTCATGGCCCCGCCGTGCACCGCCTTCAGCATGTGGTCGCACATGCATCGACATCTACCTCAGTGTCGGGATACATGGCGTCGCAACCGCGCCATCGGCGAGAAGCTCGCCAGGTGGGCTGCACAAGTAGCTGAGCATCAAGCTCTGCACGGTTCACTCTTCGTCGTGGGGAACCCTCATGCGAGCGAGATGTGGAAGCTACCATACTGGGAGGCACTGCTTGGGCGAGACGACGCCCACCGCATCAAGATCCAGATGTGCGCAACTGGGCATCGCGACCCTTTCGACGAACATGGAGTACGGTTCATCCGGAAGGACACGCTCATTGTGGCGAACCACCCGGAGATCTTTCGACCTCTTCGGATACTACGTCGCCCTGGTTTTTCGCCACAGCATGTCCATCATATCAACGAGAACGGTCGCTCGCCCTACACCCAAGTGTGGCCGAAGCGATTCTGCCAGCTGCTCGCCAGAGGCATCAAGTGCGCCTTGGACATGCAGTCAGTCGAGGCGTACCCCACGGCCGAGGAGCTGACGGTTGCGGGCTGCCTGGCATGCAGACGCAGGCAGCGCAAGGACGACCCTACTCACACCAGAGTCGTCGGCGAGTGCCTCTATCCGGACGTCCCGGCATCGGCTACACGCAGCGTCTGGAATCGCCGCTTCGACTGCCCGGCCTGCAAGGTCAAGGCCAATTGCTGGGATCTTCGCCACACCTTCAAGGACGACGAGTGCAGGTGGAGTACCAAACAGATCGAGGAGCGCGAGAACCGGGCTCCCGCTGGCGACATCACTGAGCCGAAGAGCAGCGAGAAGGCAAAGCCGCTTCCGCTGACTCCTGTCCCTGGCAGAGGTTCGCCTGGAGACCCTGCCGAGGAGGATGACGAGCCGGAGATGGACCCGGCCGAGGCTCGAGCAGCCAGCGATGCTCGCATCCGCGAAGCTCTTTCTGGACCACCTGCTGTCTCGACAAATCCAAAGGCTTCGGGATCGTCGGGACCTTCGGCATCACCTTCAGCACCAGCGAGACGCAGCACTGCCACCATCGAAACCCAGGCCACCGACACCTGGGACGACCCGGACTGGTCACGGTTCGACTTGGGGCGATCGCTGCAGGTCTTGCGCAACGGCAACGACGCCCAGGTCAAGCGCGTCATCCAGCGCCTACATATACGACGCTACCACCAGTCGGCTGACCAGCTGATCGAGCTGCTGGAGGCCGCTGGGATTGGGCAACGAATATTGGACATGGTGGCTCCCGTGGTTCGAGCTTGCAAGATCTGCCAGATGTGGCACCGACCCACTGCCAAATCCATGTCGGCAGTACGGCTCACCACCAGGTTCAACCAGGTCGTGCAGGTGGACCTCTTCTTCATCTTTCAGCTCACCATCCTGCACGTGCTGGACGAGGCCACCAGATGGACGGCAGTTCGAGCCGTTCCTTCACGAGAAGAAGGTGATGTTCTTCCTGCCTTCGAGGACGTGTGGATCGCGACCTTTGGGCCCCCACGTGTTCTCATCATCGACCAAGAGGGAGCTTTCGCGCACGACGCCGGCATGGCTATGCGCGAGCGTCATGCGATTCACAGGAAGCCCAAGGCCGTGGACCAACACGCCCAGATGGTCGAGAGACATCGTGAAGTTCTTCGTGGAGTCTGCCATCGCCTGAAGGAGCAGTGCGACCGCGAGGGCACCATCATCGAGCCCGAGCAGATCGTTCGCGAGTCGTGCTACGCGAAGAACGCCTTGATGACCATCGGCAAGACCACGCCGTACAAGGCTGTTCTGGGCGAGACGCCCAATCTGCTCCAGGACTTCGAGACTCCCACGACGACTCAGCAGGAAGATCAGCAGCATCTTCATCGAGCGCGTGCGCGCGAGCTTGCTCTCTCCAGCATGATCGAGAAGACGGCGATCGAGCGCATCAACAGGTCTGTGCGTTCTCGCACGCGTCCGGCTGGCCAGAAGTTCCAGTACAAGACGGGCGACCTCGTCGACATCTTCCGGGCGCCGCCCAACAAGGACCTCGACGGCTGGAGAGGCCCGGCGAAGATCGTGGACGCCACGGGGGAGACGCTCAACGACGGCATCGTCCACGTGCGCTGGGGCGGCCGCGTGCTAATCTGCAGGCTCCAGGACGTGAGGCGGCATATTGCGTTCTGGTCGAGCTTCTTCCTGCAGTTCCCAGACGAGTGGGCCCCGCTGCGCGAGTTCGTTGCCGAACTCGGCCGTCGCATGATCGTTATCGGCTGGGTCTACGCAGCGCAGGGCTGGACCATGTCTCAGGGAGCTCGACTCCATCCTGGGATATTCGCTCGCGGCCTCATGATCGCCAACATGCACATGGGCCTCGCCAACTGCGTGGGCATCCGAGTGGGCTACGGTATTCAAACCATCCCAGAGATGGACGCCGTCTCCTTCACGCCCTTCGTCTACTGGTACACCGGTCAGGACGGCTACAGCTACCTGGAGTGGCAAGGGACACGCCGTCTCGACATCACGCAGGTGTTCGGCGGGCGTTGGCACGACACCTACTGGGTGCAGTTCTTCACCGTCGCGGACACGGACGCGCAGATCATACAGCGTGAGGGGCCCGAGCGCGCACCACCAGACATCGATATGGACCAGGCCATGGGCAGCTTCGACGACGACTCCGACGAGGACATGCCCCGGCAGGCTTGCCACCACGACCTCCTCAGCCACCAGCACCTCCTGACGCTAGTCGTGGCCGTTCGCCTCCACAGAGCGAGCGAAGCCGGAGTCGAGAGCTCTCGTCCATGCCGGAGGAGATTCGAGGTCCTCCAGATCTTCCTGGACCAGACCAGGAGATACTCATCCCGGACGAGCCCATGGACCCACGACAACGGACACCCACGCCTTCGGCATCAAGGAGCATGTCTGACATATCTGTTCGTTTCGCACCGCCTGCACCGACTGCGCCATCGGCTAGCAGTGGCGAACCTCGAGTTCCGAAGCGTGGCAGATCGAGCACACCTTCCCTGGCGGGACCGTCCACGCCATCACGGCGACCTCGGGTGGAGGAGGAGGAGTCCACAATGACTGGTGGACCAGTTCTCCCTCTGCGAGAACCTCATGAGCAAGCAGCACCACCGACGTCTACGCCGGGAGCTT